ATTTGGATATTCACCTATAACCCATAGAATTTCATTGATTCTTTTTGAATTCGTCTTAGTATGTTATCTAGTGCCTTTTTATAGAATTCGTATGTGATTTCCATCTGACCATAGGCCTTCTCATTCTTAGTTTTTGTTAATTGTTCTTTCATTTCTTCTATTTTTCTGTTTTTTAGATTGTTGTATCAGGGAGGTTTAAAAAGTTTCTCTATCTCTGCTGTGTATCTACTATTTTTTGTTTCTTTTCCAATGATCTTTTTGTATTTTTCTTTGAATATTTCTAGTTGTTTATAAATCTTGTTATTGAAAGTTGTTACTTATTATGGGGTAAGTTTTGGTTTGATATTTTATGCCTTCTGTTTTCTTTATGAGTTCCAACTTTTTTTGGTGGATCCGAATTCACGGCAAAAAACATTCTTGGCCTTTCTCTTTTTGATTTCTATTATTTGCCTACTTTTTGCATGAGTTTTTTTTCATATTCAACTTCATTTTCTTTTTTATTTTGTTTTTTTCTCCCTTTTTAAAGGCTTTACTTTCTTTCTTTATTACTTTGTGGCAATTTCATTCCACCGAGGGTTTATTTGTATATTTTTTATGTTTGTTTGTCAAATTTTAAAACACTTCCTGTTTCTTTAGCATGTTGGGCTAAGTATCTGCAGGGTTTTCCTGTATCTTCTATCTCTCAGTTTATTCCAGTTCCTTTTGTGCTATTATCCACGCCCTCTTTTGTGAACGTGCCATTTTTTTCTTTGTTATAAAGTAAATTTTTGAAGTATGTTAGTTACTATTACTGGTAGATGATAACTATTCAGATTTGGCGCTGAAGCTATTTCAAAGTGACTAAATTTGGAGAACCTAATTATTAGGTCTTATTGTGATGTTTTTGCCTTTTTTTGGGTCTATCCTTGTTAGTTATCTGAGTGTTTAATAGAATTTCTGCATTAATCCATAAGAACGTCAAAAACATTTTTACCCTTTGATTAAGTTTGTTTCTGAAAATTGGTGGTGAGCATTTAATCTCTCATCATGAGCCTTGGTTCTTCTAATTGGTTTGTGTCATGTTTCACTTTCTTCTTTTGAAATGTTATTTGCATGGGTTGTAAATTATAATACGTTTATCCATGTGTTACTTTACTAATTGTATTGTATAGCTTTGTACGATTTTCAAATTTATGTTCTTTGGTTAGTTATTTAATTTTAGGTTTTGTATTGAAAAGAGTTTATGCAGCATGCTAAACCTCCACCTGTTTTTTTTCTTTCTTTCTTTTTTCTTTATATGTTCGTAATTAGGATCTTAAGTTATCTTATTCTCTTTTTAACCCAATGGTGTGGGTGAAGAAAAAAAGAAAAAAAAAAAAAAAACCACTACTCTCTTGGCAAACTATGGCAGCACACCGGCTTTGAGCACGTAGTTCGGTTTTCATCAGGTCAGAATCCTAAGCTCACCCGGGCTTTGGCACGCCGCTTGCCACCATAGCGGAAAGCCCCCTCGCCACTTTTCAAGTGGTTTGTTTTACAAGCCTAGTGATGTCTACCCTTTGTGAAGGGATTAACATGTTTTTCACATAAGCGATAAGGCTGGGTTTCTCTTTATATATCACCTTAGTTTCATTTCAAGTTTTGTTTATTATAGATCTTGTGTTCCATAATATGATTTTATGCATTAAGATCTTAAGTTTATTTTTATTTATCTCTTTTGTCATTTTAATGAAATTTACAGTTTATATCTAATTAGAGTATGGCTTTCTTGCAATAAAAACATACGGGTCATTTTACAACTTTGAACATATGGTCAAATTCATTACACTATTACACCTTTTTATGGATTTTGTGTATATCCAACTTTTCTTTACTGTTGGTGTTCTTTATCTTTCTTTTTTATTGTCATTATTTCTAGTTGGAAATTTGTCCTCCAATTGTTCTGATTTATTCTTTACACCATGTCTGTTTTCAGGTCTATTTCCTACGGGGAATCTGGTTCCGTAGGGACAGCACTGAGGTTTTACGAGAAGCTGGTTGTTTACATATACTTCCCAATTGCTGTTTTTTTAATTTCATGCAGTGGTCATATTTTTGATAGGTTAAATACCTCAAACCTTAAGGCTTTGCCTGTTCCAGAATCTCTTAGGGTATTTTTCTTATTAATACTTGTGAATTCAGACTTGTTTATTGCGTCCTTTTAGTTTTATTGGGTTATGAAGTTGAGGTGATATGATTCCCTATTCCCCATGTAACTGATCAAAATTACATTGTTGGGTTTCTACTTGGCTTTTTCCGAATTAATGTTTGTATCTGTTGTTTGTTCAGTTTCAGATGCAATTGTCAGCGTCCTGATTTGGCGGGAAGTTTGATTGTTGGTCATCTCATTTCGCGGTAGTTTTGAAAGTGGTCTTCATTTTCCGAGTTTTCTCTTTGTACGTTTCTTTTGTTTGGGGTTTCAGTTTCTGCTTCTTTATAGTTTTCCAAATCTTCTCTGGGTCAGTGTGGAATGTTTTCCATTTTAAACTGATTACTTGATATAGTATTAAAGAGGAGACACTTCACCTTCGGTGTCTAAGCTTGAGTGTGCAATCGGTATTGAAATCCTCTCCTTTCGCTGAGGACTTTCTTTTTTTTTAATATTCTGTACATTTACAGATTCATTGCCCACATTGAAGCAGAGGTTACACACAAGCATGGCCGTCGACCTTTTGGTATCCTCATTCTTATTGCTGGATTTGCTAGGACGGAACACCCCTTTATATCTTACCGATCCCTCTTGGTACAACACAGATGGTCAGGTTGAGTATTAATATGATATAGTTATTTATTTCATTATTATGTGTATTTATCAGTATTCTATTAATGGGCTATACGATCACCAAAAACTCAGAATCCACTTATTCAGCCTTGATTTATCTTGTACAAGACTTAATCACATCACTTGTTTTCCAGGCCAATGCCACAGGTCGAAGTGCAAAGAGTGCGAGAATTCTTGGAGAAGCATTACACTGAAGAGGTAGTCTCAACAGAGGCAGGGGCCATCAAGCTAGTAGTTAAGGCATTGCTAGAAGTGGTCCAATCTGGGGCTAAAAATGTAGAAGTTGCAATCATGAAGCCCAACGAGCCAATGAGGGTAATATATTTGTCTTTTCGTGGATGTTGGCTTGAATGATTTTGGGTAAAAATAAGGTAATAGTAAAAGGAGTTCCAATCTACACATGGAAATTACCTCCTCCTTTGTTATTTATTTTTCAGATGCTAGATATTGGCAGCCTTGAAAAGATTGTAGCAGAGATTGAGAAGGAGAAAGAAGAGGAAGCAGAGAAGAAGAAACAAAAGAAATAGCTGTATTACATTAAAAGTAATTGCTAGTAATGTTAAGTTCAAGTATTATTTGCAGCAGAATCGTGCTTACCAAGAGGTATTTTGATTTATAACATCACTCAGTTTGCTTACCCCAGCAGAATGTTATTTATACAAAACTAAGCTCTTTTTTTCAATAAAGGAGGATAAAATACCTATCTCATTAACCCTTTAAAGTGTTTTCCTTTGACTTCTGTTGTGTTACTTTTCAATGAGTGTGGAAAGTATTTTAACCCCAAATGGTTTAAAGGGATTGCTTAAATGCTTTACTGTGGACAAAATATTTTAAGTCGAGCATTTCAGATCTTCAGAGCAAATTTTTTACATACAAACTCGGATGTAATGTTCTTCATCCGTTAGTATGGTTTTTTTTTTTTTTTTTTTTCTTTTTCTTTTTTTCATGTTTATTTTACACAACTCAGAGATGACAAAATGAACATTAGAATCAAATAAAAATTATTGAAAATTTCTCTGAGGAATCCTAAATATTTACTTGTCCCTCATTGAGACTCATTACCTGTATAACAGAATACATCATATAGGGGCAATGGCAATAAAATTCTTGTTTTCTGTTCAAATCATATTTTTATTTAAAATTACATTTCTATCTCAGCTATTCACCAAGTGAATCCAAATATATATGATATCAAACTAAAAGTAAAACAAGAACATTTAAAATGCAGTGTTGTAATTATGATAGATCTAGCCTCATGCCCACTGCCATGTGATTTCGTTTAATTAAGTTTTAGAATATTGAAGATATTCAGTAGGTGGTTAGGTTTATTTTGTGCAGTAATTCTAGTCAAACTAAACATCTGCTGAATATCTTCAATATTCTAACTATAATTAAACCTGAAAATCACATGAAGAAGCATAAGTTAAAAAGAATAACTGAAAATGAATAAATAGTGTTGTATATCTCATTTCTATCATTATTAATTCATATATATATATTGATGATGCCAGGATGGGCATTTATACATACATGGCACGTAAATTGATATTATTAAGTTGCTTGTACATAGCTGGATCCACATGAGCTTAGTCACCAAAGATCCAATGTTATTAATTATGAGTATGGTATCAACAGCATTAGGAAAAATAAAACTCCCCAAATCAAGAAAGGGGAAATTACTCCTGGTGACAAAGTTTAATGAACCATCTATGTGTTAAACCAAACTCAAAAAACTACAACGGACTGCTATTATCCAATGCCTATGGGTAGATGCTATGCTTATTACGAGTATAGTTCTCAGTACCTATGGAATGTTACTGTGCCTTTAATTATGCCATGAAAAATCATCTATTATTTTGATTAATTCTCTGAGCTTTCTTGAATTATTTTATTTGTAATGAGATTTATGTTCAACTGACATTAGTCTTATAATTACAAAAATAACTGTATAAATATATACATTAACTATATCTCCCAGACAAGTGCCACATCTAACAATAACTATTTAGTATTCTGCTACTCAAAAACAAGAAAATCAACAGCCATATGTCAACTTCTTAATAGAAAAATCAAAAGATTTTAGGAACATTAACTTAGCCTATATGTGCAGCAAGAAGATGCTGAGGCACATATAATGACAGTGTTTTCTTGACACAGCCATTTCTTGGCGACTTCTTGAAAAAATGCTAACCCAGGCAGTTATTTCATGAGGTAAGTCTGCAGCCTTGTTAGTACTGTGAAAAGTAAAAAAAATGTTAATATTGTCGCATGCCCAGTGTTTCTCTTTTTTCATATATCCCAGTCTCCAGTCAATAATAATTCCCTCGTATTTATGTCACATTCATGTGTAGGCTATATTATTCTGTACCTGGGCCACTGTCTGCCTGACATGGTTAGACCACCAGGCATCAAGTGAAAATTTGGGGAATGACAAGGGTAAGGGTTATTAGTTAAAACAAATAAATGTGTTTGGCTTCAAAGGTCATATAGCACAATGATAAAGTAAAAATGTAAATGTAAAATTGAGTTGATGATTAGGACAAAATGTGTTAGATGTAAAAGATAGAGCAGGGTAGAAAGGGATCAGTAAATGGTGGAAGTGGGTTAAGGGCAAAGTGTGATTTGATCAAATAGAGAATAAGGTAGAAATGAGTATCACACAAATCAGAGAAGAACCCAGGAAAGAGACACCAAGGGAACAGGAAGGTGGTGAAGTATCTGAAGAATGTCAAGAGGGAAAGATCCAGGGAAGGACACTTGTGATAGAAGTATGTCTGTGAGCATCCAGGAGGGATAAAAGGGGAAGGACGGGGAAATGTGCAGATGGAGAAGGGGAGGATGGGGTGTATAGGAGGAAGAGGGATTGGAGGGGGGAGAGAGAGACGTATTCTTTTGGGCCATGTTTAGGAAGTTTTGGGTGTCCTCAAGAGTTTCTGGGGGATTAGGGTATAGAGATCTAAGAAACAGTATTTTTTTACGAGGAGGAGAAAAGTGACCGATGTCTGAGGAGATAGGTATAGCTATATTATTGCCTAATAATTAAATTTGACTAGGAGAGAGAGGATGATAAGGGGTGGGGAAGAGATACTGGAGAAGATGCTGAGACATCTTAGGAAGAAAGGAGTAGTATTGGAATAGCAAGAGAAGAACCCCATCGGTGTGCTTCCCCATCTTGAACTTGTAGACATGACAGCACCTATAACATAAATTATGGGAACTACCACAGTAACACACTTGCATGATTGTGCAGAGCAATTTGAACAGTAATGACCAGGTTGGGTAGGCTGTGGAACAACAGTGCTGGCAGGTATCAAAATGTCAACATTATTACTGATGAGGAAGAGGTGATATGATCACCAAAAATAAACTTCATTATGGTCATGTCTATGGAGGTAATCTTGGCAATATTGGTGTAAGATGTATGGCAGCCTCAGGGGTGGGTAGTGTGCTGATAAAGCATCATAATCAATGAGGCAGGCCAAGCAAGTTGTTTTTTGCAGTCTGACCAATCTTGTTGGCATGTGAAACATGGAAACTAATCTAGTACAAGTATTATGTGAGGATTAGTGAGAGTTCTGGGCGGAATAGTTTTGCCGATGCAGTCAATGGGTACATTTGGGACTCCAATGTAACTATTACAAAGTGTAAACATTGAATGATGGCTGTAAAAGGAAACTGTAGCTATTTGTTTTTGGAGACATTATGATTCCCCTACTTCTGACAAGAAGCGATACATTTGGCTAAAAAAAAAGTATGGAAAAGGTTTGCAGAGGTGAAATATTAGAAGGCAAAGATGGGATAAAGAGATAGTGGGTAGAATGAGGTAGTACTGCAGGGAAGAGAACAATATGGAGGAGGGTGTAGGCAAATTGTGTGAAGAAAAACTGTCAGAGGAGGAGATGGAGTTAACAATGTTGGGAGAGAGGAAGTGATGTATTCTAAAGGTTGAGTAAGGACTTTGGAATGGAGCAGAGTTGACAACAAGCATGATGGAGGGGATAGTAGTAGCATTGTTGAATCAAAGAGAGGCAGGAGTCAGGAAACCAGTGAAGTTAATTTTGGATAGGCTAGTTGATGAAGGGGCAAGCCTCAATGTTTCTATGGTGATGGCCATGGTGAGCCTGAAATATGTGGGGGGAGAGAAAAGATCTGTAGATCTTTTCTCTCCCCCTCAGGGTCCTCATGGGAGGTAGACCATGGCTAGATGATTAACCAAGGGAATATTGTGCCCATGGCCCTTGGAGCCCATTAAAAACTGACAAAGCCAGCCTTTCATCCTTTCAAGTTTGGTTCTTACACTTAAGAAGTGGACAGAACGGAAAGGAAAAGGAAAGTGGGAGAAAAGATCATGCAAAAATGGTTGAGCCAAGGGCTGATGCCCAGGTAGGGCAATCCCCATCATAACAATGGGCATGGGATTGGTGTGTGGGACATGACAATGACCCAGGTGTGAAAGGGTTAAAGGTGAGATTCAGTCCCAGTGAATTTTTTCAAAATCATTTAGTATCATTAATAATGCTCATCAACAAAGGTACTTAATCTGATAATGATAATGCATTCAGTAGAGATATATAGGACATGTCTGTTTCATTAGCACCATAAATATAAACATGTATCATACAAATATCATATATTAACACTAATAACTTTAATTCTGCAGTAACTCTGTAATGCACAATCTTCCTCTATACAATTTTGAATGTACCTATGGGAAAAATATGAAAAGATAAGAGAGGTTATAGCTATAAAATGAGCAAGAAAAAGTACATGTTGGCTTATCATAATACCATGGTCTTAAAAAACAAAACAAAAAAACAAATGACAAATTCTTTAGGTGTCATTCACTTTCCACCCTCTAATCAAAATCACTGATCAACTGAAAATGCCAATATTATTAATTAACAGTCTGCTGAGAACATAGCTTATTATGAATTGAGGAAAATGTATTACTTGACAACCATCACAAATGGGTTACTCAAATTACGAGACATTTCTTGTGAATTATCAAATGTATTATAGCTCTGCCAGCAAGCTCTTTACTCCATGTACTGAAAGTAGAAAATCCAAGTGTATAATTTATATTATGATTGAAAAACATATACCTGAGAAGAAAATACTATAACTCAAATTGTGAATCAAATATTAACCCTAACCTAAGCATTAAAGCTTTCCTTTGAAGTGCAATCAAGCCATTGATAAAATGAGTCCCAGAAGAGCAAGGGAGGCCAATGCTACTATTCTGTCTGTTGCATAAACAACTAATCATTTTCTATGGTCTTTTTAACTTTATAGAATAATGAATGTGAGAGAGAATTAATAAAAGAAAGGGAGGAAAAAAGCAAGAATGTGAGAAATCAAAGGGCTGAATGAATAATAGAGAGGGAGAGGAAGAGAGAATAAATGAATGAAAGAGAAAGAATGAGATGTAGAGGGAGAGATTCTTGAACTTTTCCTGAAACTCAAATTTATTGCATGTCAGTGACACTTTAGGGGCATGTCTTGTCAAAATGACACCCCCATATAATTATGGTGTGAGGCAAAGCCAAGATATTCCTGTGCAAATACCTCTACAAGCAATCCAAGCTTCACAAACCTTGTTGCAGTATGTGTTGTGAAGGATGTGATGTACTGGGACAGAAGCTCAATGAAACGGAGCGTATGATCCTGGTGAAACTGTCGCAACAGGGATGCAAGTCCTGTTACCAGCAATTCTCCATCAATACCCTCAGTGCCTCTGATGCCAGTCAGGGTACCTGGTTCAATATTTAACATATATTACTTTCATTTAATCATGAGTAAGAGGCTTTATAGTGTCTCTTTTCTCTAGAAAGCCTTTACTTTCCCTGTCTCAGAATATATTAAGGACACCAGCAAAAAGTAGTAATCCCTTTTCTGTCTGACATACCAAGCATTTTTGCATAATGTATCTTTGGAATCTGGTTGATCACAGTCAACAGTAGCACCATGCTCAAGGATTCAGAGCCTGTTGTGTGATGTAGGAATCCTATTGAAGGCTGATTTCATCCCACACCATTCATTCCAAGAAGATACTCAATTCACTGGTTAGAAGCACCGTCCTCATCAGGGGGGCCTTGTAGGATCAGCATATGCTTCTTTACATCTGACATAAGTGATCTGAAGATGAAACAAAGGCGCTTTAGTAATTGAATAATTTACAGAGTATTATGAGTACGAGGCACTTCTCTACACGGAATTCTTAAGTCCATCATGACTTAAAATTCAATTAATTTCAGCATAACCAAACTTAAAGAGCTTAAAGAACCTTACTCATTCATGGTTTGAAAAGTGCAGCTGCAAGATATTTCGCATCAAACTTGCATGAGGAATTGAGACGATTTGCGCTGGAGCCTGAGTGACCTGCATCTGCCCTATTCGAATGATACGATAAACCAAGGATGTTGACATTTATTAGTGCGGTTGAGCCCATCACCCACATACTGCCTCGAGGTTGTGCTGTTGAAGGATAGTAGATAAGATAAGCAAAATACTATGAGAAAAAATGTAGTTACACACAACGTGTGTGTGGTGTGTGTGTGTGTGGTGTGTGGTGTGTGTTGTGTGTGTGTGTGTGTTGTGTGTGTGTTTGTGGTGTGTGTGTGTGTGTGTGTGTGTGTGTGTGTCTTCTATCTTATATAATAACACTTGAAGGATAAAAAAATGACTATACTTTTGTTTATTTTTTACTCCATCCCTGTTTATTTCTTGTATAGTCCTCCTTCCATTCATTTCTTCAAACCCCGTTCCTACATAATTAATTTCTTCTAAAACATTCTATATCAATACAACTTCTCTCATGCTCTATCTGAACCAATAAACACAATTTTTTTCCTAAATCAGTAAAAACCACTTACCAACTACATGAGTGTTTTGGAGTTAACTGGGGTTGCTATGTTCTGAGTAATCTCCTTTTGGTGGGGTCCTTCGGGCAGGCAACCGTCATCTCCCGCACCAAATTCTGAAATGAAAGTTACTGTCATAGTTGTTCAAGATGAACCACAGACCAGATTCAATGGTGCAGGGGACCCTAGAATAAGTTAAGATATCCTTCTGTAAGAATATACTGTTGATACTTATTTGGGAACTTACCTTCCTTGCTTGCTTTGTCATCTA